CCAGTAGTACAATTGGAGTAGCATTGGACAATCTCCAAGGACAACAGAGAGAGTGAAGCAGAGTATTTCTGTAAGTGAGCATTTGAACTCAGCCAACCTACACTGGGTAAATTAAAATTAAAAAAAATTACAGGGTCCAAGCAGATTCTGGGCATTTAAATGTTTATTTTTCCTTATTTAATTGGCAAGAATCACTTGAAAACACACAAAATGCATGAATTGCCACATTGTTGGCAAGTAAGACTTTGTCATCTGGGAATATGAACCTTAGACTCATCTACAGAGATACTGCAACAATGGAGAAAGATTGTCTCCACAAACCTTCTCACAATGAAATCACATGTGCCAGATTGAGGTATCTTTATCTGTTTAAACAGTCAAACTATTGGTTATAAAATTCAGAAAGATGTTTTTTGGGTGTATTGTATGGAAGCTCATTTCTACAAATGAGGTGGAGGGAAAAAGGATCCTGTAAGTCTTTATAATGAGAAACTCTCAAGGACTAAGTATCTGAAAATATTGACCTAGTACCTCAATATAATGAGAAACTTTCTCAATATTTTGTGTCATATTGTGAGAAAGCTTTTTCATTATGACTTACAGAAAACTTACACATTCTACTGCTGAATTGTCAAAGTTCAGTGGATGTGCTAAAAACAAAATCAGTTCTATACAACCTACAGTGAAATGTCAAGGATTTTGAGGAGTTTTTACAGCTGTACTGGTGAAAATGTGAGTTTAGGCTTATAACCACTCTTCTTTCTTATATTATAATACCTAATAACATAAATTAGACATGGAAACATGAGCAAAGACTTGAGGAAATAATTGTACTTAAATCTGTGAGGTTATACCCCGAATAACCCTAACAGATATAACAGGGTATATATATTGAAAAGTATAGATACCTGAAAAAACTTCTTCCCACCTCTGCTTGGGCAACAGATATTACCCAATTTTGGCAAAGCTTAACCAAGATTAACAAACAATACATGAAATGCTGTTGAAGTTCTGATGAATTTAAAAAAAAAACATGGATTAATGATGCATGAATATCAGTGACTCCTACACACATTTCCACATAGTTAGCTGATAAGTACCAAATGTGTGTGGAATGGTAGGTCAGGATCTAAAGGAACAACATGACAGAGCATGAATTATGGGAGGAAAGAAAGTCTAGCCAGAAATCTAGAAGTGATTAGCTGCTGAAATAACAGACCACGACACAGATTTAGTTTTACTTTCTTTGTTTACTCTCTGACAATGCTTTTATTTATTTTTTAGGACTAAACCATCTTTGGGTGTCATTAAAAAATGGTTCTAAATGTAAAATCACATGTCATTTAATATGGACTCAGCCATCAGGAACAACAATCCTTTTGATAACCAATCAAGATTATTATTTTTTATACAGCTCCCAATACTATGTTATGTTTAGTAGGAATGTGGACCGGGGTGCGGATAGAGAACACTCGAGGCAGGTTAAGTTCAAGAGTTTATTCACAACAAACTGAGTAACAAGTAGAACTGTGTGGAAAAGGGTGAGGTGAGAGCAGGGGCAGGCAGGTCCTGACAGTGGCAACCAGCGCTCCAAAAAGAACCTCCAGGCAGCACAAAAACACTCCGGGTGCAGGAATCTTGAAAAGAGGAGAAACACAAAGCGTTAGTCCTGGGCCAGACAGAGAAAATTACTGGAAACAAACCAAATACTCAAGAGACTAAATTGGCCTGAAGT